CATATAATCAGAATTCAATTATTGTACAACAACCTGACAGCAACACAAATATGTTTGCATATTTTGGTTCCTCAATGCTGGCAATGTATAATTTCCTTGCAGGTAAAATTCTATATGATTTTTAAAATAGTAAAATAATAATTATACTTAATAATAATCATTTGATTTTTAATAGGTGATAGTGGAGCATTTGGATCTTGGCAATTACAAGATGAACCATATCTGGCAATATTATTTGTTGCATTTTCATTTGTTGTTGTGATATATTTAATGAATTTATTCATTGGTCTTCTTAGCAATCAAATTGAAAAATATAACATAGATGAAGCATTTTTAGCTCAAAAGGCAAAAATCATAAAAGAGATTGAATTATTTTATTTACTTCCTAATCAACGTCGTTGGATAGAATGGTTTCCTGATTTATTGTAATTATGCTTATTTTTTTTTTGTTTATTGATAAATAATCATAAATAATTTAATTTGATAATTTGATAGATCTTATCATGTGCCAGTTGAAGATGTTCGAAGAAGAATCAGAGAAATTGATAGTAGTCAAGAAGATCCAGAATTTCTTCCATTTATTTCTGAGAAACTTAGGGAATTGGCAGATATGCCCAAGCCAGAAAGGGAAATTGAAAACAAATTAAATCATAATAATGAGTTGTTGCAAACTTTGGCTGTGGAACACAAAAACCTTAAAGATGATCTCCTCAAGGAAATTGAAATGAGTCATGAAATTCTTAAAAATCATAATGAACAAATGTTGATTCAAATTCAAACTTTATTGAATGAGATTAGACATTCAAAATAATTATTTTCTATTTAATTTTATTTATTTCAATTGTATTTTTATAATAAAATTCTGGCTAAATTGAGTTAAAAACTTTTGATGATGTTTGTCATATAAAGAGTTGTAACTCAATGAAATAATGAAATATTTATATTTGATTATCAGTCCACTTAAAGTGTTGTCATTAGAATGTCATGGTGTGCATGCAGTCTTGATACTCCTGTTGCTGCGCCACACTTCCAATTTAACACAAATAAAAGGTTGAAACCTTAACAACGATTCATCAAATCTATATAACTTGGTGCATCATACTTAAATTCAGACGAGCACCTTTAATTATACCCATTGTAAGTTGCCATGATTTTCAAATATTTAAAGATTTAGGCATAGACCAGAAAGCAACTAATGATGATGTTGATAATGATATAACTGAAGCGATTACTACTACTACTCCTGTATTACATAAAGATAGGTGCCTTGTTGGCATTAGGAAAAGTTAAATAAACAATCACGATTAGGAGATAATGAATTGAAATTGATAAAAAAATATTGAATTTAATTCAAAAGAACAAGCAAAAATTGACGATTATATGAATAATTAAAAAAACTTATTAAATAAAATTAATTTTTATATTTTTAAAAAAGGATTGTTATATATTTTTGTGAATACATGTGGGCTACACGTAACCAGTCAATAAATTATATGAATTTTATTCGTAATTGACGTGTGACAATGATTGATACTTACGCTCTCTATACCAGATGAAATTTCTCGTTCCAGGGGGTTCGGTATAGAGAAATTTGACTGTATTATTAATATGATGTCGTAACAATGTGAATTGTAACTGGAAAATGTAAGGTTACATTTTTTGAAATTGAATAAGGGAAAACAGAAAAAAAAATTGCGATGCAAAAAGTTTTTTACGATCTGTGAAGCAACTTTAATCATCCAATCCCGCACTGGAAGAGGAAGATTGTTTAGTAATTTCAACTTCGGGCCTGCCGCTAACTTCAGGTAATTAGATCTGTAGGTAAGATTTTAATGTCGTATTTATGATAAACTGATTTTTTTACTGACATTTTAATTTTACATTGACAAATTGATTGATTTATCTATTTTTTTCTTTCAAAATAAAAATCGCATATTCTTTTTTTTTTTTTACCATTACTAATATTTCTTCTTTTATTATTATATTTCATAAAATGAAAACACATTCGAATTGTTTTTAGTGCCTGAGGTCAATAGAGCAACTTTACACACATGCTAACTTGATGTTTTTTCTAATACACAATAATATTATTAATAAAATAAAAATGCATCTGAACTGTCTTTGGTGTGCCTGAGTTTGAAACAACATAGGCTGATCAATATTGGCACGTATAATGACCTTTACATAGTAATAGCACATAAGAAGGTTTTGGTACAGATTTTTGTAAGTTTAATTTTGAAGATTTAATATTTATATTAATAATTCACATTTTTGTTGACAGTTAAATAGTTTAAATGTTCTCTTGGAGGATTAATTGATAAAAAAATATCTTGAAAAGAACAACTTCTTCTTCACCAAACTCTAGTGATTGATTCAACAATAAAAGAATTTCTGTTTTCTATTTTTATCACTTTTAAATTGTATTACACGTGATTCTCCATAAAGAAAAAGGAAATAATGTAACTGTTATTCTCAAAAAAACTCTTTTATGTTTTTTTATAATGTCATGTGTTAAAATTATTATCACCAGAAAGAAAGGAATTTATAATGCTTTGGTTAATTCTGAAAAATCACGCCATAAGGTAAATTATTCCTAAACAGAAAAAATCAACCAATCAACTTTCGAG